AGCTAAGGTGTTAGCATCATGTTGTGATACACATGAAATGTGAGAATAGCTGAAATGCGTGTTCGCCTACCATATTAGTTACACACTTATCATAAATACACGTGTACGTTTCTTCATAGTGTTCACACAGTCTTATATCAAATTTTAGATAGTTCGACAGCTGTGGTAGCTATTTATATTAGTGCAAAATATGAGTCAAACTGACAACACCATGCATGTAGGTATGTCATGCATGATGCTGCTTCAGAATACTCCCTGAGTTATGCCTTAGGAAAAGGTGAACATTCCATGTGATACTATTCTCTGTCAGAGTAGGGTATTTTAAGCCAACTTATTTTGCATAGGTTTCAAATCGACATACCACTCAAATCGATTGGCTTTATGTCATACGTAGTGAGGAAGCAGACTCTGTAAAGTGCTTTGAAATGCAGTCATGACAGTGTTGAACCGTTAGTTGATTGAGGCTTGATATGGTTGTATGGAAGATAGAATTGGTCACCTTCATTGATTCCATTTGGTGCCAGAGCCCTCCACATTCTACTGCTATTATTTCATGGATAACAACTACTTCATTGATATGCCATTGATTGACAGACAGAGGAACATGTGAACTGCAACTTGTGGATGTGAAAGTTAGTGAGGTGAAGTGTCTTGCATTGCGACTGTAAGCCTTGTATATCGTCTTAGTTATACTACACTCTTCTCAGCGTCGTGTTCTTCCATCTGTCACCTTGAAACTCACCTATGACATTGACTACTGAAACATAAATCTAACCGTGCTCAGTGTCTCACTCTTTAAGATTTCCACACTCTTAAAGAAAACTGTCACAGATTCACGTTTCGCCAGTCAGTTCTCATCCTCCTCTCTCACTGAATAACATGGGAAGTTGGGTACATCGATTTTGTGTTTTGATAAAAGATTTTATGCTGTTCACACAAACATTTTCACTTCACCTTCAGGATCAGCATCAAGAAGAAACAATGATATTGTCAGTGCTGTTGTTGTGTCTTGTTCAAATGGTTCAAATTATGTGCCAGAGAAAAGTTTGTCAACTGAAGAGATTACCTTCAGGTGAGTGGGATATCGACAACTTCAAAGTACTCGAAGCAAACAGAGATTATGGAGATGAAAATCACGTGTACATGGTATTTCATTTTGTCTTGACAGTCAATCCATTTTATACATGTCTCCGTCTGCACATTCATACTTGCTTGCATTATTAGAATCTTAGTCATAATGGATTGACTGAAGTCAGCAAAATGAAGCAGATGTTGAATGACCCTGCTGCTGTGATCCAAGCGAAGGAAACACTGTAGATGACTGATGTATGCATCTGTAATTTGAAAGTGTATAGGCAAAGAAGCAAACTAGGAATATCACACCATTATTTGTATTGCATAACCATGGATCTCGTTCACTAAGGGAATCAGGAGGCAATCTCCAAATTATTTATTTGTGGAAACTGACTCGCATTGAATTCAACGGTATTTCGACAGAATGGAAACACTTGTCACAAGTGTAGTTGGCTGCCGTGGTGACAAAGAAGAACTTGATCGACTTTCAATCATTCAATCTTGTAGACGTTGACATAAGCTCCATCCGTTTACCTAACTAGCTGTCTGTATTTGAGTTTGTAAATTACCGAGATATATTGCATGAATTCCATGCTATTTGATATCACTAGGTTTAAGATATAGTAAATAACCTGGTCACTTTTCTCATCACAATCAACACATCATAGTGATGCAAGCTCATTATGCATTTCTATTAGTCGAAACAACGTCAGGGCTGACTCTTACCACATATGCATCGATGTACACAATTATTGGTGTAGAACCAAATGATTGAAAATTTTCTTGTTCTTAAATATGAAGGGAACAACTAAATATACTAAATATACTACTAAATCCTAAAGGAAATGCTGAGACAAAACAGCACGCAGCACAGCATGTATCACACATGAAACTGCACGATATTGGACTATGGAAGATGTGTGATTTGAAAAGAGTAAGTGAATCGTGCATTTGTCAAGAAATCTTTCAACGATGACCCACAAATCATCCATAATATGTGCAGACGTGTCAACATACACAGTGGCATTGATATGGATCGTGAGCTGGTGATATTTCAATGATCTGAATGCCTAAGCGGTAACGGAGGTTTGTTTTCATGTTTGCATGAGACCGGACAATGACAAGATATTCACAGACGAATATTGTTGAAGCACATCGTCATCCAGTCAACAGTCATTTTCGAACGATTTTAGCATCCAACTCGGAAGCACTGCTTTCGATTACGCATGAAGTTTTATCGCTCTGTGAAGCTGATATGATATTTTCTGTTGTATGGAACAGCTTTACTGATGGAAACATTGATAGCTTCGAGTCTGAGAATGTCTCATTTCTGTATACTACAGCGTGACTACAGTGTCTGGTAATCAGTCTTAGTAAGTGAAGCTTGTTTCCTGCCCGCACAATTGGTGAATCACACTGGTCACATCTGAAAGCTAATGCGAAGTAGTTCAGTGGAGAAAGAAAGAGACGCTTTACAACACTTCACCATCAGCAGTGTTATCTTCTCCGCATACTTTTATCTACAGCTCTACAGATTGAGATTTCATCATCTCATGGATACAAAGTAATCACGTCATGTGTATTTGGCTTTCCGTGTGTTTCGTGTCAAGCAATCTGTAAGACAGTTTAGATTGGAAGTACTGTGGCATTTGTTCAGAACACCATCGTTCGGTAGGTGAACCAGTGTTTACCTAAAATTGGTTAGTAGTGTGAAACCGTCAAATTGGGACTTGAAATTCTTGGGTGCTGAACAGTAAATTAAATGATAGGCATCTCATCTTTTCTAAATTTGTGAGTGCAGGACCAATATTCCTTCAACACATGTCCTGCTGACTGAATTGATTACTTCATTGAATGACATCTCGTTATACCGTTATGTTCGCTCAGGGTGAATATTCATTTGATTTATGTGTGCAACTCTTCAACACCTTTTTATAGGCATATCTTGTAATCGTAGCATTTTCAACGTTGTTTCAGTGGAACGTATTTCTAATTGTATTCCTTTTTCTTTTCAATGAAGAACCTATACTCGGTGTTGATGCCGATCTACAAAACCCAAGAACAGGTCAACTTCTACCTTGGAGTAATCATCTCTACAATCCTAACTCCTATGAATACAAAAATCTATCTGCCACCCTTTGCGACGCGGTAAGTGTATCACTTTCTAAAAGTATTACACAGTCATATTCTAGACACTAGAACTTCTGCAATTATTTTCATGTTCATACAGATCTACACATATTTAGAAGGTAGATGCGATAATGACTGCATCGTGACCTGCAAAGTGAATTACTCGAAGGCACAAACCATATATGAACGACGTCATGAGTGTTGTGATGCTTGTAAGACTACAGAATAGGTAGTACTATGATGAAACTGATAACATGCATTCCTTTGTAATGTACAGAGTATTGTACACATGAGTGAGACCATCTATGCGATTAGTGCTTAGGTATCTTAACTAGGTCATGGGGAATATCTGGAATCACTCTTCACTAGGAACATTGCTACATGACGCGTGATCTGTGAAGTGGTTTGCATTTGTGTGAAAGGTCGAGAATAATAATTCGTATGTACGGTGAGCAATGTGAGGTTTTCAAACATCAGCTTGATGACTGGAAGTGGGGAGTTAAACCACATTTCAAATCAGATATGCAGATGTTGTTAGAATGATTATAGTAACCAGCAGCATTCAGTATTTTACCATATTGAAACGGGGTCCGTGCTCTATTCAACGGAGATGTGTAATGATGTTTTGAATATATAATTTTGCACTGCATGTCGCACATTGAAAGTGACAAATGAGGGCAACATTCGGCATCATGGTTATTACAATCAGTGTAGTTAGATAGGCTAGTTCCGATGAGCAGATGTGCGGATGTTGTTCGTTTCCACTGTATGTGAATTCCAGTATGCGTCCATAATGCAGGTGAGAAAAATTTATACACTAGATGTAAATCCAGATTTGTTCTAATTTCGTGTATTTTCATTCTGATTCTTCACATTGGTCAGGTGAAGGAAGCTATCCAGCCCATGAACTCACACATCAAGAATGAAAAAGATTGTTTCTTAGTTATAATACGTCAATGGGATGGTCACATATATGCACAAATCTACTTGAAATATCCAATCTCAGAATATTCGCGTTTAGAAAAAACAATTATGAACAGCCTAGATGAAACTATGCGCAAAAGAAACATTGGACTACAGAAAACCTCAATCTATTGTAAGTAAGCATACATTGATTTGAATATAATTGGTACATTTATATGGTAATAAAGATGAACATAAACACAAATACATCAGTGAAAATAAATAAATCGAAAAATATTCATCAGATTGCAGACAAACAAAAATAAACACATGAAGAGAAAAAAGAAAACAGGATATTAGTGGGGAAATGTAGAAATTAGAGAGGGAGGCGCAAAACATGTCAGCATTGAGATATTCTTGGGCGTAATGTCATACAGTGGAATGCAACACAGCTGAATCCGATGGTTTAGATGTGTGGTGGCGGCAAGACAGACTGACAATATCCTCGATCGTCAATAATCATTTTAAATAAATTTATCTTTTCACAATGCAGGCGATGCCGCTGAGTATCACCGGAAAGGCTGTGAAGCAGGAAATATCGAGGTGGACAATCCATTATATAAGCTATGCGAAGTAATGAAGCCTACAACCGAGAAAAATGAGAACACAGTGAACACTCAGTCGAAGGAAATTGTACACACAACACCGATTCAATCGACAACCACATCTCACAGCACTGATACAACGGCGTCCGTCTCAATCGGTAAGTTATCTATGATCATTTGTGATTCAGCCTTCAAAGCTGTTTCACACTGGCCATCAATATCATACAAACACCACTCACTCATCACTCATCATATTCTTCAAACACTTGACCTGTGAAATCTTTGAACAGGGGAGCACTGATGACGGCTGACATGAGATACACATCAATCTGCTTGACACATCAGTTTGTTGTAAACAGCTGAGTGTTAATAGATGACTCAGATGAATTTCCAGTAATCACTTAGGCAATGTCAGTATCTCAAACACATATTACTGCAGTTATGTGGAGTGGTGAAGTTGATTAGTCAGCACACAGACATTGTCACCTATAACCCTACAAGCTGGAATCCACCACAGTTGAATGCGTTGACTTGCAATGTGTGCTGATGAGAATAACTCCTCAAAACTTTTACCCACATCATTCGCTCTGCCTGGGGGCGCTTCTTTTGTTTTCAGGGAAACGTTATTGTGAATATTTTGCATGAATCATCTGATGTCCTCATTTTTTCTTCCATGTGCTTTTTACTTTCATTCCGCTTTTGCAGCATCCATCACATTCAATTTCCGTGATGATCCTATTATTGCAGTTTTTCTGATTTTCAAACGTGCAATCACCTACCCAACTGACTTTCTTAAATTCTTCAGCATATCTTGACATTTAACAGCGCATGAATGTATATTTTTTATGATGCTTACGTTGACTAATTTTTCCGTTTAAACATTCTACCAACTTTGAATAAACAATTTCGAAGAAGTAGTGTCTTCTAAATTGTTTCGATCCAGTATCAATCATAATTACGTTCCCTTGAATTGTATTCACACAACAGTGTGAATAATTTCCAGATGGACATTGTCTTTTTTTCGTGTGTGTTTTCTTCATTTGCAAGACGAAGTTAAGTCGCATATCTGAGAGAACGTTGATGAATTTGTTCGCTGATAAACAGCAGATAAGCATTGGTTGCCACCACGCTTTCTATCTTGACAGGTGTGGATTACATTTTAAGGCAAACTAGTGATGCCACCTAAGAGATGGCGAATGAAACAGTGTTGAGCACATCATCGAAACGAGTAATGTTATTGCAGTCCTGCGTTTATTCGTTTTTCTCCTTATCACGTAAACACTGATTACATCATCCTGCCAATCATTCATTCCCAACATATTGTTGAAACAATAATGACAGAGGCATTGGATATAGCAAGACTTCTGAAAGCTCCGTATCCTCCTCGACTGCCTGACTTTGCTGGAGGGGTACATCAGAACTCGTCACATCATTTCATTTGTTCACAGAAATTCAACATGACCTGTCAATAAACATGTCAATCACCATCGGGTAGAATTCACTTTGTTCCAACATGAGTTTCATCACCATTTCGAATGATCGCCCACTAGGAATGCCACGAGAGTTTAGCTTGTGTGTGGTTTCCACTTAGTATGAGTGTTGCAGAGAATAAGCGATATTAACTAATTCCATTCGCTGTAGGTTTGACTTCACCGTCTTGACACTTATTTAACTATGTATCCATCGTAATATCGATCAGTTGTGACGATGACTTGTGATTCTCAGTTTCACTTGTCAAATATCTTCACTACTTACACCAACTGAAACCAATACACTGCTACTCATTGTCTTCGGTGATAGTTTGAAGCCTTAGTCGCCTAACTGAACTTGCGATCAAGTCGAAATGCAACAACTGACAGAAGGCTGTCAACCAGTTATCAATTCGCGCTCAGATAGAAGGAAATCATCAGAGTATTCATCATGCACACTTGATCAATTCCATTTTCAGTGTCAACTATCCGTTCGGTGGTAGAGAAATAGACTGAACAGAATTACAGTCAGCTACCACATTCACATCCTTCAACACACCAATCAATGCAATTAACTTGCGCATTTTTAATTCAGTGTGATTCACTAGTATATTCCTCTGACTGTCTACTGAATACGCAGATGATTTCGCGGTGATCAGCATACACTATGAAAACTTCTAAATAAACCCACTGACTGAAAGGCAATCAATAGGCTGGTCGTTAACAGTAACACAACACTGCTGTTCTAATAATAAACAACACTCTGTGACACCATTCAGCATTCCTATGTGATTCACTTGGCATGTTGCAGCTGCTTGTCGGTGTCACATGAAGATAACGGTTTGAACAGTGTGACATCGTTATGCTGGTTCTCTGACATCAGATACTGTATGTAGGTTGTTTACGTGACAACAATTTTAGGAGTTTAGCGAATAACACCAGTTTGCTTTCATTGTGGCTCCAACTTAACAATCCGAAAGCGTGCTAGCTGATCGGCGAACTGGGCTACCCCTGAAAATCAGTCTTCTTAACAACCTCAACTAACACGTAACATTACTCACCTTCACGTTCACTGATACGTCCAAATTAGCAGTGAATCGATGAATCAATGAATGAATGAACAAGCTATTTTTTGAATACGCCAGAGATGAGAACAAGGAATTATTATCCACAAAATAGGTTCACTTATTTGAAGGAAACCACAGTTGTGAGTGGTACAACAGAGTCTTCGATTTACTATCAATGTTTCAATTGTCGACAAGTTCGCCAATATCCAGGAGCACATCATTAGCTTGATGTACAGTGAGTATGATTTTTCTGCAACAAAATGTGAAGACATCGCCACCGTTATGTTCGCTTCAAACACCTTCGAACAGCCTGTCATAATGCAATGCACGTTTACATCGCACAAATTTTATTCGCGTTCTCCTGATTGTTGTCTAGGTGACCGGAGTAGATTACTGACTCTCCAGTAAACCGTTTCGAGGATCCACTTCCATCCCATCTGCTCTCGCAGATTCCTGGCACGTCTATGCCATATCTTATCATTTCTTTGAAATCTGGGCAGCCGTACTAACTTCAAACGTTGTGGAAACACTACAATTCCCGATTCTTACTTTCGCCTTCATCAAGAGAAGACACATCTTCCAACTGGATTCCCGAAGACTTTCACCAGTCGGTGTCATTTCATCTCCCTGATTCCAGCGTAGAATAAGTTTATTTTATATATTTTTCCTGTGGTTTGAATTTTCTTCAGCGAGTGAATTGACTTTCTGAGGTAGGGTTGTTAGCCCCACGACCAACCTTCCCTCTTTTTGCGGGCTCAAAACCGGCTAGTAAACAAGTGAACTAGTGAAATGGGCGAGGTTGCTGGCTTATAATAACTGGGACAGCTGTTTCTTCACTTCCTACCATACGATAATGCTAAATGGAATTAGAGTAGTAGTGTGAATGAAGGCTAATAATTTGACTGGGATGAGGTGCCACACGCAAGAGTCATATTGTTGGCTGCTTGAGGCAGGAGAGGCTTAGGGTCCTTCACATAAATTATTAATTTGGAGATTGGGTCCTATAGTTCAACTACACATATACAACGCTGGAAGAAAGTTGATGGACAAACAACTGACTGAACTCAACTATCTTCTCTTATTAGGACATGAACAATAAACCAAACCAGACGGAACAGCCAATAACCTAGATCTACAGTCAAAGAATGACCGAGTGCACATCAGCCCTAAACAATAAATAGTTCAACATCTGACAGGTTTATAACAGTTCGCTCTGTCCTACTGTATGGCTGTGAAACAAGGCCATCAATTGTAGAGGACATGAGAAGTGTTTGGCCCCCACTGCCTTCTTAGAGTAGGCCGTATGTCAAGTCAGATGTAGAGTTTCACGGAGGAGAGGGAAGTAAGTTGATATACTTGTGAGATGGCTGGCTGAGACGTACGCTACGAATGTCTAGTCACTGTCTGCCCCCTCCTATAATGTTAACTGAGGTAGATTCACGCTAGAAAAAGGCTCAAAGTGGTCAGACTAAAACATGACATCACTATGTAGACTCATTGACTGTTGCTCTGAGCCATGTAGTGCAATCTAGACTAGCTAGTTGGAATCCGCACGACAAGAGAAACCAGACTCTACGTGATGATATGGCTCAGAATCGATGTCAGTGGCGTGGATATATCGACGCTTTGTCTTCAACTTAACCGCTATAATGAATTTAGCATTTTCTCATTCCTCTTTCAGTAGATGTCTGAAATATTTGATGATCGAAGAGCGAACGAGTTTTCCTTCATCACTACGACAGCTTAATACAGTTGTGACACGTGTTTTCATTTGATCATAATACCGTTGAATTCAATGCCAGTCAGCCTTCACAAATTAATACTTTGGAGATTGGGTCCTAACCTCGTCTAGTTTACCAGTTCACTAGTTACTAGCCGGTCCTAAGTCCGGAAAAAGAGGGAAGGTTGGGCATACGTCTAGCAACCCTGCCCCATAAAATCAGTCCAATCGCTAAAGAAACTTCAAATCACAAAAAATACAGCAGACAAAAATACAGAAATAAGTCACCTACTTGAATGTTTCTCTCAGAATTTGTCTACTTGCACCTTTGTCGCAATATTTCTGCGAGACAATCAGCTTGTCGTCGTCCCTTAAAAAATCTACCACTCATGTTTATACCCATGAACCCTTCTAAGTTGTCTCTCAACAGCCACAACTTTGCTGAAGTTAGTGCTGTTAAGTCTTCAACTTCGAATGTAGGTGAAACCAGTGGACGGCTGTTGACTATGCAAGTCGTGCGTTCCCGAAACCCGCTGCAGTGACTTGCCACTGACGGATCGCAACGCCAGTCAATTCCTTTACCAGGCCAGTTACTTAGAACTAGTCCGTGTTTCCATTCTCCCAAGTATTCATCCAACCCACTCTTGGCCTCCACTAGGTTCGACTCCTTATCGCTGGATATCTCTCTTGAGGATCCTTTGGGCAAACCTCATGTGCGATCCATTCGTATCTTCCCTATATTGATTTCTTGTACTGCCTGGTTTCCTTCACTTTGAGGAATTGACAGTACAACCTGTTGTCAGTTGCCGTTCTCCTAGTTTCGGTGCGGAACTTCTTGACCAAAAATATGCCGTAATCGTTCGAATTAAGAAATAGCGTCAGAGGTGCCAACAGTAGAAGCTAAATAATCTACATAGAAACTTTCATCGACGACCTCTTTGGCTTCACTATGCTATCCGATACAGGAAGTGTCTGTGGTCTTCCTGAACGCATAGTTTGCGTAAAAGGGCTAGGAGATCACACCAAATTGATGAATAGTCGACGGATATACAGTAGCCTCTTACTCAACGTTACCACGCTTCCCCGGTGAGAGACGAAATGCGGGTCGTTTGTCATGTTCCGGAATCCTAACTTGCAAAAACATTTCTTTTGCGTGAGTTGCAGCGGCGATGACCCTGGCTCCAAATCTTAAACGTACCCCAAAATGACCGTTGACTTCTGCATATATCTCGAGTAGATCGCTGCTCTTTGCTAACCCTTTTCTTAAACACTCAAGTCTACGCTTAGCCACTTCATAATTATCGGGTAGACTGAGTTTGCCTAATCGTCAGGGTAGCCCAACCTCAAAATCTCCATCGACTAACCTAGTGGAACGATCCACAATTTCAGTTGCCCTTTTATCCTCCATGGAAAACATTACACGAGAATGGCTAATATCTCTGAAATCATGATCACAAAGCCTTTCTAGGCTATCTCATACATTACAGTTATTCGAACACTGGCAAAAGGCAACTTTACGTGAGGACTTGTCTTGCTTCGAGCAAAATACAACCCAACCCAAATGGGTTTTCACTGCAAAACGCTATCCCAGGGCCCAATGTGCATCCAGAACATCACATCCGATTAGGATTCCAACAGTATCATTGTGTAATCGAGGTAATTTGATGACTCTCCAATGGCTCCACACCTTAGTCTGTCGATCAGACAGAGTGTGCTCACCTGATATTGGTAAATGATCAGAAGTGTAAGCCCCTTATACCTTCATTGAACACTGTCCATCCAGCGAGTAGGGTTCCACACTAACTTACAAGCACTCGCGCTGGGAAGTCCCAGTCATCGCGGCCACACTCAGGGAAGACTTCCTGCCAATAGGGCCGAAATCTTTGACAACCTTCTCCAATATCAATGATCTGTCCGATCCGTTATCCAGTAAAGCATAAACCTGTGTGCTCCCTCTTGGCTTCATCGTCTATCACGTGCGACAAAG